TATATATATATATATATATATATATATATATATGAGTGCCAGAAGTACAGGTTGTCCCAAACCGTATAGTTTAGGTCACTCAGCCGTAACGCTTGTACAAATAACGCAGCCTTCACTTATCGACTGTAGTTGGATGTTATCACAGAAGCACGGACCGTACAGAGGTGCATTACCTAATCTCTACAAGATCATGCTTTTTGCATTAGGATCGCCGCTGACATCCCAACTCGCTCAAGGTTTGCTCCATCGTTATACGCGCATCATCTTTTTTCTCTTACACCTGACTATTTTTGGACGTCCCTTGAACGGTCAGAAGACGTCGACACAAAGGAAGATTGCTCTCGAGCGCACAAGCTCGCCAAGTGATGTTAGTGACTAACTAGAAAACAGACCCGGCATTTCAAGCCATTTCATTCAACTCCTTATCACCTACTGCTGGTAGGGTCCATATTGCCAAGAAGTTCCAGTGAGACTTCTCTACACTGGTCATCCTTCTAGAGTAAGGCTTTTGGTCAGCTTCCTAAAGCTTTGAATGACATTTACAGAAACAGTTGTCAGACTTATGGTATCAAAGTCACGACTGATCTGTTTTAACTTAACTGTTTACGCATAACTCTGGGTTACAACGCCATCACTTGTATCATCATCATCATCAATACCTAGATCACTGGTCACAGCGGTGCTTCGGTGCCGCACAACCACATGTGCGACCGTTGCGTGGTACCATCAGCCGAGTCGCCTTACTTGCTGTATACAGCAGGGCGGGTAAGCGAAAACGGGCTACTGCTGACGCCTCCGTTCGTTCTCTTTCATATACTTTTTCTTCCCCCTCTTCCCACCCCATTAATAACTCTCTTCTTGTAGGCCCAGCACTTGGGACTGATGACTCCGTTCGTCTTGCATCGGTTTTGCGTGCAGTATCTGCTCGTCACATGGCGCCGACACCTTCAGGTATCTCCAAATCAATCTTCAAGCCTCGACACGCAGTCTGTCTGGCCGCTTTCAATGTCCGCACTCTGAAGCAGGCAGGACAACGAGTTGCTCTTGCACCCACACTGGACTCGCTTGATATTGATGTGTGCTGTGTTTCAGAAACGAGAATTCAAGATGCAAGCACAGTGATTGAGCTAACTGCTCCGTCAGTCTCCGCTCCGGTTGCGCATCTCTGGTGATCCAGAGGCTGCTGAGGTGGGATGTGCAGGGGTTGGTATTGGGCTAAGTCACCGGACGGAAGTTTCCTTAGTTGATTGGATATTTGCTGATAGTCGCCTCTGTGCGGTTCGTCTGGCAACGTTCGTGAAGTAGCCTCACAAGCGACAAGTTGATAGATGTCTGTGTTTCGTATCTGCCTACGCCCCAACTGACTGTAGCTCCGACCCCGTCAAAGACAGGCTTTACGAACAGGTTTTCCGACGCTCTGAATGCCCTGCTGCGGCGAGCTAAAAGCTCAGACATCGTGGTGGTCGCCGGAGATATGAATGCACAAATGGGCTGGCTTAGTGTATCTGAGACTCAGTTAGGAGGTCAACATTGATTGGACTCGGTACGTACGGTCAATGGGGAACGATTGCCTCAGTTGTTTGTTGATCGCAGGCTCTTTTTATGCAGTACTAACTTCCGAAATAGCCGAAGTCATCTGGCCACATGGTGTCCTCCAACGACAGGCCGGCCACTAAGTCACTTTCCCGTCCACCTTTACTCTTTTCTCTACAATAAGGCTTTCAGATATATCAATTGTACGGCAGTGAAGCATCGTTGTTGATCACTGATATCATGTTGTTGATGATGATGATGATGATGACAACCACATGGTGTATTTGTGAAAAAGTCGTAAGGTAGAAAGGAGAGACACTTGGGCAGATAATTGGTCCGCTGCCAACTCATCAGGCTGATTCCGTGTTGCTCACACCCCCAAACGCTCACTCAAGCAATCTGGACGGAAAGTGGTAGCACGAGCACCGCTGACTTAGTTTTGCTGCTATATTTTGCAACATGTGAACCCAAGTGCACAGTGGGCCACGAATACCCTATTTTTCGGAGAACATACTGCATCAAACCAAGCTTTTCGTGAACTTCAAACCTTTACTGAATTGTCCTCCTTAGTTTGCAGCACTCATCTGAGATAATGGTGCAATAGCTGTAATACAAGGCCAAGCCACGATTTCTTATGGTGCCGGATACTCTTTGTGACTGAATTACATGCTGCACATTCAATTTCATGGATTCCTACAACCGACTCACTCATGTTCTGAGCTCATCCAACGCCATCCATCCCGGAAACAGATAGTCAAAGACATAAAGACGCCGCAGATCACTGGCGTCAGAGGCCCTCTCAATGTTTCGGTTACCTGGTAGTATTCCAGCCCTCGTCCTTCAGGCTATATGGCACTTATATATCGAAAAGATGCCCTAGCACAATGCCTTGCAACCATACAGCGAGACAACCTGTACCCTAGCCTGGCACACCAACACTTGAGATCCTTTGAGAGGCTTCTGTGACGCCATATGTGACAAAAACTATAGAATGGGCCTTGTACTGACTTCACCAAGTATATTTCCGCCAGAGTTAGTGCGACTGCTGATGGTTCTCTTTGAATTACGAGATTCTTTGTTTGATGATTTGCTTCTGAACTAGGGCTTTACAAGACGCATACCGAAGGACAGCATGATGGTGGAAAGTTGTCCCAGTAGCGCAAGCATCTTTTACTCATTTCCAGAGAGTAGAGTGTCACCGGCACGCGTCAGAATATGTTCTTGCCAGCAACATCTCAAACACTGGCGATATCCAACACATCATTTCATCGACCAAGACAGTTAGATAGTGTGAAGAATCAACGAGCTACACAGTCATGATGTGCTTGAAGTTATCGGCTGGAACGTCATAGTTTTAGACAGTCACTGTGCAGTGTTAATTTATTGGTTAAGCTTGTCGTGTTAGTCGGGCTTCTGTGCTGCAATGATCCTACGGGTTATGCTGGCTGGAACGCAGTTCCCAAAGGTTCAGTCATGTCGGGAAGGTTAAAGGGGGGCAGCCCGACGAAGAACAGCGAGTCTCCGTTTTGCGAGGAATCGGTCTGGAGATAAAGTCGTACTGTTCTCTGCTATGAGAGTGTGAAGGCAGTAAGGCGTTCGCCCCAAGCGACCAGCATATCCATATTTATGGAGGCAGTAATGCTGCCTTCCCTCAAGTTAGGACGGGTTAGAATAGGTTGTCCATAAAAGCCGCGCACGCCGATCGCCCAACGGTTGACTGTTACCGCAGGCGCATTAGTCAATACGGTCGAAAAAACTTTAAACCAAGGGGTCCGACGCTGCTCAAAAGGCATTTGCTGTGAGCTGCAGTAAAAGTGAGACAGTAATGCCGTACTCCCTGTGTCCTCCAACCATCCCAGTGCCTCCTCCATCGGTAGTATTCCAGCCCTCGTCCTTCAGGCTATATGGCACTTATATATCGAAAAGATGCCCTAGCACAATGCCTTGCAACCATACAGTGAGACAACCTGTACCCTAGCCTGGCACACCAACACTTGAGATCCTTTGAGAGGCTTCTGTGACGCCATATGTGACAAAAACTATAGAATGGGCCTTGTACTGACTTCACCAAGTATATTTCCGCCAGAGTTAGTGCGACTGCTGATGGTTCTCTTTGAATTACGAGATTCTTTGTTTGATGATTTGCTTCTGAACTAGGGCTTTACAAGACGCATACCGAAGGACAGCATGATGGTGGAAAGTTGTCCCAGTAGCGCAAGCATCTTTTACTCATTTCCAGAGAGTAGAGTGTCACCGGCACGCGTCAGAATATGTTCTTGCCAGCAACATCTCAAACACTGGCGATATCCAACACATCATTTCATCGATCAAGACAGTTAGATAGTGTGAAGAATCAACGAGCTACACAGTCATGATGTGCTTGAAGTTATCGGCTGGAACGTCATAGTTTTAGACAGTCACTGTGCAGTGTTAATTTATTGGTTAAGCTTGTCGTGTTAGTCGGGCTTCTGTGCTGCAATGATCCTACGGGTTATGCTGGCTGGAACGCAGTTCCCAAAGGTTCAGTCATGTCGGGAAGGTTAAAGGGGGGCAGCCCGACGAAGAACAGCGAGTCTCCGTTTTGCGAGGAATCGGTCTGGAGATAAAGTCGTACTGTTCTCTGCTATGAGAGTGTGAAGGCAGTAAGGCGTCCGCCCCAAGCGACCAGCATATCCATATTTATGGAGGCAGTAATGCTGCCTTCCCTCAAGTTAGGACGGGTTAGAATAGGTTGTCCATAAAAGCCGCGCACGCCGATCGCCCAACGGTTGACTGTTACCGCAGGCGCATTAGTCAATACGGTCGAAAAAACTTTAAACCAAGGGGTCCGACGCTGCTCAAAAGGCATTTGCTGTGAGCTGCAGTAAAAGTGAGACAGTAATGCCGTACTCCCTGTGTCCTCCAACCATCCCAGTGCCTCCTCCATCCTACTGCCTTGTGAATCCGACTTTAGAGTCAAAGGTGGGTACCTCAAGCAATCCTCTTCTTCGCCGTGAACAACCAGGTAGCATCATCCGCTTATACAGCTCTTCGCTCACCTCTCTGCTACATCCCCTCCCCACCCATCGAACGACACAGTGCGATCAACCGATCTGCCAGTCCCATAGCCAGTGTTCCTTGTCTGAACCGTTGCTCAGAAAAGTAGATCGAGATAATCACCTACTAACACCAACTGGGACGGTGCACACATATACCTCAAACACCGAATAATTAGGTTGAAAGATGACAGAGAACGCTGGTAGATTTCGAAGAGCCAAGAGGTAGAGAAGGCTTTTGCTGTAAGCAACAGCCGCGCCCTGTTTCAACTGATTCGACAACCAGTCAAAAGAAGGCAAGTGCCAGTGAAACGGTATGCAAAAAAGATGGGACGGTAATTCATTCACAAAATTGCCGTCTTGAGCGACGGGTTGAATACTTTAAAGAACAGTTCAGCTGGTCTCCTTCAGCACAACCGCTGGAAAACCCCAGTTGGCCTGAATCGGACATCGACACCATCCGTCCATCAGCAACAGAAATCCAGCATATGATACCAATCCCTCAACGCGACGAGGAACCTGACCCGGATGGCACGCATCCCGCACTATTCAAAGAAGGTGGAGAGTTCCTGGAGAGCAGTCTGACGACCATGCTTTAGAATATTTGGAAAAAACAGTACCAGCCTAATGAAGCTTTTCGAGCGTCATCCCAGTTTTAAAAAGGGCGGAAGACTGTCATGCGAAGACCATCGTGGCATCAGCCTGATATCCGTCGCATCTAACGCGCTCTCTGGGCTTATTTTGCGTGGGTTGATCGGTTATCGGGAGAAACAGAAATATGAGAATCAAGTTGGGTTTCGCCCTGATCGAAGATACATCCACCACATCCTTACCTTGAGACAAGTTCTTGAGCAGCGCCACTATTTCAAACGTCCCACGTTGGTCGTTTTTATTGATCTGAAAACTGCCTTTTACTCTGTTGATTGTCAGAAGCTTTAGTGGTGTCTGGTGTTCAAAGCTATCCATTCCAAATTTATATCCCTTATGAGGGCTCTGTATATGAACTCTTGTGGGTGCTTTCGCCTGAGTTCACTACATCCAGTGGTGTGAGACGAGACTACCCTCTCTCACCTTCCCTCTTCAACTTTGTTATTGTTGTGCTCTGCTCTCCTGTAAAACCTCAAGAGTCGAAATGCTCGCGGAACAGAAAATATTGCCCTCCTTGGTTCATATTCCTCAAAAATGCAAACCATTTTAAATATCTCAAATACCTCTGCCGCACAGTTGGGCGTGCTCTTCACACCTGCAAAGTGTGGAGTGCTGCTACAAGAGTGGGTGGGATCAAACCCAAACCTCATGCCTGCAGACGAGCCAATCGACGTGTTGGAAGAATTTGTTTACCTGGGCAGTTGTATAAGTTCCGGTGAACTAGCTGAAGATGAGATTACTTCTCAGATCGAGATACTCATAGCAGCTTTCGACGACCTCCGATACCTACTTCGTCGACGTGATGTTAGTTTGCTGCAGTGCGATCCATACTGCTTTATGGATCAGAGACGTGGCCTCTACGCGCAGAGGTTGTACAAAAGATGTCAGTGTTTGACTATCGATGTCTCGGAAGCATTGGTGAGGTCAGTTGGGAACATTGGATTAGCAGTGCTGCACCAGATGGTCTTACGAAGAAGGAAGATGAGTTACTCACGCTTCATAGGTTGCGCTAGTTGGGATATCTCCACATACCAGAAGACCGTCTGCCTCACAGATCTCTTTTTGACCAGTCCTGTGCTGAGTGGAAGCGACCAAGAGGTAGACAATGTATGACCTGGCAACGAAGCGCGAAAACACTAACCAGTAAACTTAGTCGGTTCTGCACCTGCCGCCTCCCTGGATGAGGACCCCAAGACTCAACTCACCAGTGGTTAATGACGCTGGTTGAAATGGCCCAGTCGTCCGGTCAGTGGCGCTCATGCATCAAACCCATCGCCTTCAATGCGTACCTATCCAGTTCTCGAAACAACTGAACATGCCATTCCCTCCAAGTCTTGGCTGTATTTCCCACACTCTCCCACTTCCCAATGATCGAAACTGTAGCAGGTGGAACCCATGTGTTGAACACTGATGTCATGCTGTTGATTATGATGATGGAACCCATGTACCTGTGGTACACGGTTCATAGCAAATAAATTGCATTGATTGGATTAACCTCAAGTTATTGAAGTTACATTCAGTTCTCCATGAGGCTGTCTGGATTGGAAACCTTCCTTCTCGAGCCATTCCAAAAACCCATAACAAGTGTAAATGTGACCCTTCCAAATAAAAGCCACTAATGGTAACTTTCGGATTCCCTTGACAGAAGAAGCGTGAAACTTACCCGCGATCACTCTGCTGACAGTTAATCTTTTCGGAACTGCCACTTCCTTATCTTCGTATCACTATTCGAGTTGTTCGGGGTTAGAACTGGGTTTATCTCGACCTTAGGTTGTTCTAGTCACCATGTCACTATTGACCACACACCAAACGACTTGACATGTCAATCGTGCTTGCATCTTCTAGAAATTATCCTAATATTCGCTAACTTCAAAGGCTCATTATTCCACATGCTGCCTCCCCCCTCTTCAGACAGCAGATCGCCACTCTCACGGACCCTCTCTTATAAACCAAGGGAACTCATCAGGTTTGCATATGGATTCGTCGGTTGTGGGTTCAGACAATCTCGTTGCCAGCCGACTCACCTCGATTTCACACGAACGCCTGCTCAATCGACTCGATAGACCCCAATCTTCCTCATTCTTCCCACGCCAAGAAGGACACATTTTCACCGCAGCATCCGGACTCCACCGCCATGCCACTTCAAGGATAGACGAGGAACAGGAAGCCGTTTCCAGCACGAGTGGTGAGTCTTTTGGGTTCGGTGGGGGACATAAATGTTCCTTCCTCTGCACCGGCCACTCTTGTATACCACTAGGAGACCGGTCTCATCAACTTCTGCTGTGAGCTACCACTTTTCTGGCCCAGCTGAACTGGCTTCGTCCCTACTATACCAGGTATATCAGTCTTCCTTCGAAATCAACGACTTAAAGCGAGTGATGTACCCAACCAATCGGAAAGCGCTCGCGATCGATTGAAAAGTCATTGTTTTAGAAGAGTTTGGAACTTTGTAGTGGTCAGTGTCACATATCAGAATGTGTTTTTCCTCCAGCAGGCGTCGATTAACAAGACTATCTGCAGCTTTTCCTCCTCTTGAGCCCCTTTTTCAATCAGTTCTTTTAGCAGTCTTTGTCCAGGGGATCTGATTATGGAGCCATGGCGATTTCCACGAAACTCAAGATGAGTTTAAAAAATGATGTATGGTAATCGATTAGCCTTCCAAAGTGACTAATGCGGCGCTTGCTCTCCAGTCGGTACGCAATAGGGTTTGTTCACATATGAGAAGTTGATCCTTCCAGACATGGCACAGTGTTACTAATGAGTAGAAGGTAACCAGCCACAGCTAATCTTAGTCATCAGCTTCGTCAGCAATGCTTGTTGGAACACGACGCCTTAAGTGCTGCAAGTTTACTTTAACCAATAATGCCCAGAACAAACAAGCACATTGGTAAGGTACCAAAATGTCTCTCCCTCCATGGGAGTACCCCTGGTTTTTATGGTGACATATCAATTTATTGGTTTCGTAATACTGCATGATCATAATCATCATGATCATTACAAACGCGTGGTGCATGTGTTTATCCGGTTGTACTCGAAAAAGTGTCGGAAGGTGACTGAAGATGTAGCAAAGTAGTTAGCTGGATTACAACTAACATTGGGTTATCGTACGTTTCTCGATCCTACTTTCTACGGTGTGACGTGCTCCAAACTGCTGTCATAGTAAGTAGTTGTTAAAGGAGATTGGTCCAGTGACCCGTCCTAATTAGAAGGCGGGCGTACTGGGCTGCTGAACTTTGATTGATTGAGCGAGGAAAGTCAAGATCATGTATATTTGACAGTCGTTCAACTGATTGTTGCCCAGTTGCACTGTTATGGGTTTGTTTTGTAACTGAAAACTTTAGAACGGCTGACCAAAATGAATTTAGGTGACTAGCAGTGATTAGATGAGCTTTCATTGCATTGGTTGCGCGGTTAGCCTAAATAGCTATGTTACAAAGCGGCAGACGCTCGACTGTCCTGTGCGGCTGTTTCCAGAAGCGCACGAATAAATGAAGTAGTTTACGTGAACTAGACAAGAACTAGCACTCTTCCCATCACTTATGTCATGTTGGCACCCAGTGTGGCGTGAATTTCTTGATTTGAACACCATTATCGGTTTCCCTTCTTTTGGTTTCAGAAATAGAAGATATGTGTATCGATAATTCGAGTGAAGACAGTCTTAACGGTGCACCGCATTTAAATGGGACTTCTGGTTTGGTGCAATATCCAAATGCTGTCGGCTCCGCGCCCTCTCCTAAGGTGACTTCTAACAATTCCCACTGTCGATTACGTACCGCACTTCTCACATCATCCAAGCGGCTTACCTCTCAACCTGTCATAGATCGTCCCAGCGCAGAAAGCGCCGTCCAGATTGACCAGACTAGCTCAGTTCCTGCACATCGTCCATCTCTAATCGCTCCCATCATCATCTCAGAAGATCAATCTTCCGCACTGGTAACGACAGCCGCGGTGGGACTGTCCGTACGTCAGCCACTGTGTCAAACGAGTGAAGCTTATGTGCGCTCCTCCACATTTGAAGAGGAATCTACCTCTTTCAGGGATCAAACTCGTCCACCTTCTGCCAATGCTTCGGTTCGTGCACCTATCGTGACGTCGGAGGCCAACTCGTTGACCCTTGCACGACCACCATCGGCTTCATTCTATGTTCATCGCCGAATGTCCACTGACTCAAGCATCAACTGCCGATCCCTTTCATCGCAGACCAAATCCATTAGCCAACCACAATCCCCTGAGTTCCATCCTCGACGTGCCTCACTCCCGGTCAGTCCCTGTCGACTCCCGATGAAGAAACGCAAGCTGAACTGGAGTCAGTTGGACAGTGATGCGCTCCTTTGTAGTCCCGCCACTCCCAGTGACCTCAACCAGTGCACGTCATCATCTTGTTCGTCGTTTGATTTTTCCTTTTTAAACGTTCCAAAATCCCCGGCTACTGCTGCCACTGTTGGCAACATTTCGGACGTCACCTCCTCTCTTACCCCTTCGTTGCGGTCCTCACAGCCGTCACCCTACCTTTCTTTGCCAAGCCACAGTCCTCTCATCATTAACTGCTCTCCAGATTATCCATCATCCAGTCTATCTCGGACAAACCACAGAAACAATCCAATCATCGCAACTTCCAGCATGCCTTCAACAAGTTCTTTTGAAGACCGGAGGCCTCGTAGCATCCCAGCTCCGCTCACTTCTACCCAAATAACATCAGGAGGTCTAGCTGCTAAAAAGCTGGAAAAAAATGATGTTTCCAACTCCGCGAGTAACATCTCGCAAGGTACCGGCACACTGCACAACCTCTTTGGTAAGTAGTATTTGGCGTTCTGTTTATCGGTATTTTTTTGTTAATATTCGTTGAAAATTTGTTGTGTGGTCCGAAGGTGTTTGTTGTCAACCGACGCCCATGTTGCTAGTGTGAGAGTAAAGTGTGCAGCGTTACGAAATGATCGGTACTATCGTTAACACGGATTTTGTTATTGACTTCTTCCATCTCTGGATCTGTTGTTTACCTAGTACAGTAAAGCCCAATGGGGCTCGTCAAACGATTCTCTGAAGAAGTTGTCCGTCTGAACTGGGTACTTTACCCACACATCGTAGATTCCGCTGCTTGAGATACGTACCTCGCATGTCTTCCCTGAAGAGCTCCCCTCATCTATTCATGTGGGGTCAAAGAAATGACCCACAGGTGGTCAGTCGGAGAATCCTGGTAGTTTTAGCCGCTACGGTTACGTCCTTCAGTGCTCTATTGTAGAAAACTTCATATTTACCACTCTAGTGTCTTTTTTGCCGTGCTTCTGGATGGAATTTGTTGGTCTTATACCCCCTCAGTCGTCGCCGAATAAAGCGATGGCTGTTAGGACTGCTCTGTTGGTACGGGCTTTATATAGTGAGTGAGGAGGTATGAAGAAACAGTGCCAAATGCTTACACAGAAACTGAGATCTATTGGGATCCGTCTCCGAATGTGTTTGGATGTGTTAACCCAAGTGATGTTGTCGCTACTTCTGCTCACTGATGACTTTTATCATTCGAAGAGGGTGGCCGTAATCGAATAGATGAGTTGTTAGATGTCAGCAATTCCATTTACTCCTTACAATACTTCGTGTTCATGCGAAAAGACGAAATGGATGTCATTGTGCTACCTCGCGTCCCATTACTAATGAACAGCGGTGAAGCAACCGGACCATGCAGCCATTAGCAGTTTATTCTGAGGCTCCGTTTTTGTGTTCGATTTTTCCGGACCAACCACGTTCATGTAGCCTATACTCTGGATGGGTTTCTCGGTCAACCCAAAAAACAAACTCCTCGCTTACCCGTCGACGAACTTTATGACTTCAAGGTTAAACAATCTTATCAAATGTGTCTACCAAGTAAACGATCACTGTCGCTACTCCATCCCTTGTTCCCTTTCGGCGTCTTGCATAATTTGGTCAGAACGTGTGTTAGGCATCACCTCAAATGTAGCTTAAAGCGTGCAGATAAAGAAACTTCGTAGAATCAGAAGTTTGAAAAATAGGATTGTTGAGGTTTTTGAAAACCGTTTCGCTTTGCACGAAAAACGGGAACAAAATACCAGTTGTAAATGAGTTTCTCGAAGCAAATAGTGGAAATTTAATGCTCAACAACGACCAGTGTTGTGAACCTTGGGCTGAATATTTTCAGAAACAGCTTGTTTGACCATCTGTCTACTGTATCAAAGTAAGACAAAATCGACTGGAATGAAGCAGCATCTTTTGCGAACTTAACCCAGAGGACAGCGACAGGTGAGCTTCAGCTAAACAGTTTGACGTTGCCTTTAGCTTTGCTGAACTCTAATGAGCGATCACTTGGATTCAGTTTGCCCTCCTACACGGGATGTAGGGTGTTGAAACGTGACTTCCATGTTCTATAAGCAGTTATCCTTTTACGCAGCTTCCTCCGGAAAACTCGGCTATCCGTGTTATTCCCTGTACTTTTCTCCGTCACTGCATACTACTTGATAGTCTAATAGGGTATGGCACATCTTCGAGGTATGCTCTACACTTCGATTTTCCATGTACTATACTGTATTTCTCCTCATACTCATGGAGCGCAGTGTTATGCAGGACGATCAGCTTCATGTCAGCTGGTCCTATTCGCAACACAAATGTTTACCTTGTGTGGCCGCACAACCATCCAGCGCTTTTGCACATTCTTCCTGATTCTTTTTGCTTTCTTCACTTTCAAACAGCAAGCGTCCAACTTAACCATACGGTGATTCGTCTTGTTTCACACATTCAGAAGAACAATCCGTGTTTAGGTACAGCGATAACGTAATTGAGTACGGGCTACCAACCTAAAACCAGTCGACCAGCTTCCAGCTGATGAATATCCGTAAAAACTCAACTGGTATGTAAATGAGTGTATTTGTCGAGATCTGTCCAATTTGGGTTCAAGTAGAAAATAAGGTTGACGGAAACTCGGGGCTGCACCTACCTGATGGGCCAGAAGTGTGTGGGCGAAACCGCTCGTGGGCTGTCGAAGAGTTTTCAGCAAACGTATGTGTAGTGTGTTACGTCTGTACATTATATTGCGATATCTTGAATATCGTACCGACTGGAACATGAAGAGAAAACCATAAAGGAGAGGTTCATATGGATCTTATTTGGACCTCACGTTAAAACCAAATTCTTAAGCCCAAACCTCGTAAAAGGACTGGAATCCTTCGCGGGATAAGGAGTGGAAGCGTTTTGACAGCCAGCCTGCTGTCTCTTTCAATCACATTCCCCCGACACGTGATTCAACACACCGTTTTTTTAATGAGCGAACTGCTTCACAAATCAACTTTAACGTAAGTAGTTCGGATGTAGCCGGCTTGACACTGGATGCTGGCTTCTGTCGATTGTGATGGACGGTCGGCACTTTTACAATCCTCGTGCGCTACAGACTACCTCCAAAGGAACACCTGTCACTCCGTTTTTGCTAAGCAGCCGTAACTGAGCAACTCCCTTTTCCATGTAGGAATAAAATGGCCCGTCCCAATTTCCAGACCTTGAGCAGCCGTACTGAGCAAGTCCCACTATGTGACCCTTTTCCATGTAGGAATAAAATGGCCCGTCCCAATTTCCAGACCTTGCTGCAGCAGCACTAGACGATGACTCGAATGGATGCGACAGGCCCTGTTCTTCACTTTACAGACTTAATGTGAGTACAGTTCGGGACTGATTTTGCAGACTACAGCATAGCCGAAACAAAAGCATGAATTTCAAGAGAGAACAATTTTTTGTCAGTTGGAATTTGTTAGAAATTTATGTTGCAGCTGTCATCCAGAGGACACTGTCAACTTCCAACAAACGTATCTTTGTTTCTGCTGGATTGTAACGGTTATCTTTCAGTAACGTGTGCTTGAAACTGAAAAGAGCCGGAGGATTCTTGTTGTGACGATATGTTGCACCAGAATTAGGGAAAAAATACTGGTCATAGAGTGACATGAAAACTCGATATCTCAAAAACCAGACGATTTGGTGTGTCACTTACGAGGGAAAACAAAGCGTTTAGATGAAAAAAGTGCTCTTTTGTAGTGCTAGAACAACAAATTCACAACCAGCCACTCACACTATATTTCGTTGGATAGCCTCCGTGTATATTGAACACAATTAAGGGTGACATTCTCGCAAAAGTTTCTAGGCTAAAGCCACGTGACACCGGTGCCATCCAAACGGTTGAAGTGAAATAGTGGGACAGCCTGTCCAAGTATCACCTAAATTCCTACGATAATACAAATGCAATCCTAAAAACCCCATTTCAACAGGTTTCAATTTGTCTTCTTACTAGTCTCTCCGATGTCGAGACAACCCAGGTTGTTATAGTGCGAATTTACTGAACAGAAGTTCCTACGATAAGTGCAATCCTAAAAACCCCATTTCAACAGGTTTCACTTTGTCTTCTTACTAGTCTCTCCGATGTCGAGACAACCCAGGCCAGGTTAGTGCGAATTTACTGAACAGAATGTCCGTGGTTCGAGCCCGACCTCTGCCTCTCGACTCCCCCTGTATAGGCTTGGGCAACCTGGCAATATTCAAGCCCTCGTGCAACCTTCGGGTGGCATGGCAGTTATGCACCGAAAGGGTGCTACAGCTGAACGATTTTTTTAACCATTGCGCTAAGAGGATGAACTTCTCACGTACCGTGTACGGTTTTTAGTTACCACCAATAAGCGACGCCTCCAAAATAATGACAATAATAGTCGCCCAACTGTAACACCCTTTCGTTGCTTAGCTGCCATGCCATCCGAAGGAAGAGCGAGGGCTGAAATACTGTCAGGTTCCCCATACCTAGGTGAGAGATATCGGATCGGTAGGTTCGCGCTTTATCTCGAGCCCACCCACGTTTCTGCTGATCCGTTACGATTTTCTCCATATGGGAGGAAGGAACTTTGTAATAAGATTGATAAAGTGGATTTCAACAGTAGCTGAGCTATGAAGGCGCATCATAACGACTAAGTCAAGGTGCGATTGATGAGACTCGACAACTGCG